GGAAGGGGAAGGAAAGTGGTCATTGAGGGGGAGATGGGGCAGGTTTGGGTCCCTGCTGCCCGGGGCTGCTGGTTAGGGGCGGTAAATACCACTGCAGGGGCCTGAGAGCAACAAATAAACCGAAAATAACCCTAAAATGCGCAAGGGCCTGAGAGCTCTGCCCGTGCCTGGTGCTCGGCTGCCACCTGGGGGGGACAGGGGGACAGAGGGACACCCGGGGACAGAGGGACACCCAGGGACAGAGGGACACACAGGGACAGAGGCCACGCTGGGCTCATCCTTTTGCAAATGAGGTAAATTAATACTGAATTGCAGCGGGCTGGGAGGGGAGAAGACGCCACCGACCCCCTGCCCATTCCCACCCTCCACCACAGCCACAACATCCATCCTGCAGCTCCCAGGGGGGGTTTTCTGGGGGGGGCAAAACCTCCCTTGCATTGGGCCCACCCAGCACCCCCGGGCCACGTCACCCCTTGCCCTCCCAAAACACCCCATCACAGCGTGAAAGCAGCTCAGGGCTGAGCTCCCCCAGCACAGAAACCCACCTGTGTCCCACACCAGTCCTGGATTTGGTCACACAGAGCTCGTGCCCCCCACACCATCCCTCTGTCCTCCTCCCCTCACAGCCCCATTTCACCCCCAGAACCCCTTTGTGCCCCCAGAAAAGGTGCTGAGCTGAGGAGCCCAAAGCACCAGCGGCTCAGGGCGGGTTTGGGATTCACAGCCCGGTGCCACCACCCCCCGTGGAGCAGGGAACGGGCAACCAGCACCAGGCTTGATCATAATCCCATCCCAGCACCCAGGTAGTCCTAAACCATGACTCCAGCCCTAAATCACACCTTAACTCCAACGCTAAACCACACCTTAAATCCAGGCCTAAACCACACCTTAAATCCAGCCCTAAACCACACCTTAAATCCAGCCCTAAATCACACCTTAAATCCAACCCTAAACCACACCTTAAATCCAGCCCTAAATCACACCTTAAATCCAGCCCTAAATCACACCTTAAATCCAGCCCTAAACCACAGCTCCAACCCTAAATCACACCTTAAATCCAACCCTAAACCACACCTTAAATCCAGCCCTAAATCACACCTTAACTCCAACCCTAAACCACAGCTCCAGCCACGATCCCTTCGCGTCACCCCAAAGAGCTCTCCCGACCCCTCCCACCCCCCCCCCGACGGGAAATTCCTCGAAACACCAGCACGGGGGTTCGTTCCACCCCCCCATCCTCCTCTACCTGCAGCCACACTCGTCCACCACCATGTCCTCGTAGTGCCGCAGCACCACGTTGTCGCTGTTGTCGTAGTAGAGGATGGAGATGGGGGAGAGCCTGACGGGGACGCAGCAGGGCTGGGGGGTGCCCTGGGGGTCCAGCGAGTGCACCATGGTCTGCAGCACGGCGTGGTTGGTGCTGTTGAGCTCGGCCGTCAGCGGGAAGGGGCACTCCCCCCGGCAGTAGTTGGCCAGGTAGCCCTGGGGGGCGATGATCCAGTTCTCCCAGCCCACGTCGCTGAAGCTGATGTGGAGCCGCCGCGCCTTGCACAGGTTGCTGGGGGTGAGAGGGGGCAGCCTGGCGCTCCTTCTCCTCCTCTGAGGGGCCTGGCACTGCCGGCTCAGGGTCACCACCAGCAGGGAGGCGTCCTGGAAGGATTCGACGCCGCCGGGGCAGGGGCTCCTCGGGGCCCCCTCGCCGGCCGAGATCTCCAGGATCAATCCCAAACTCCCGCCGCTCGCCCGCGCCGCCGAGCTCAGGTCGAACAGGAGAGACTTGTGCAGCTGAGCCAAGGACTGTTCCACCAGCAGCCTCTGCCTGCGCTGGGGCACCCCTGGCAGGGATGCCCGGGGAGCCCACAGGAGCCTCAGCTCCAAGGCCTGCCCCTGGAGGGAGGGCTGGTACGAGTTGTGGGGGAATTGGATCTCCAGCCGGGCCAGGGTCAAGCGCTCGCCCTCCTCCAGCACCGAGAGGTTGAAGAGCAGGCGCCTCCGCAGGCACAGCCACCCCTGGGGCTGCTCCTCGGGGGTGAAGGGGCCTGACAGAGAAGGAGAAATAGAGGTAGGGGTGAATGGAGGCGATGGGGCTGCAGGGAGGGCAATCAGCCCCCTGGCAGGGCCTTGAGGAAGGGCTGGAGGCACAAACTGGGCTCCAGCCTGGGGCACTGGGATGCTGCAGCCACTCCAGCGTCTCCTCTGGCTGCTGCTTCACTGCTCAGAGGGTTATTTTTCCCCCTGGTGAGGAGCCACCTCCACCCCCCGTGAGCCCAGCAGGCCAATCCAGTCACCCGGGGCCCAACCAGCACCTCTGGGTGGCTTTAGGGGGCCACAGGACAGAGCAGGGCACAGCCCCAGCATCCTCACCCCTCAACTGTGAATGATCAACCCCCTGCTTACACCCCCAGAGTTCACACAGCAGGGATTCCTCCTGGAAACCAGCACAGCCCTGTCCCCCCTCAGCCTCAGGGAAAGGAAGGAACGAGGCCAAACCTCCCATCCCAGAGGATGAGGAGCCTCCAAAATCCCCAAACCATGGCGTGTCCGTACCTTGGTGTGTACCTTGGTCAGCCAGGACGCGGATGATGTTGCCGGGGACATTGAGTTCCTCCACCCTACAGGCGTCCAGGGGCTCTTTGTCTGCCGGGGGCGGCGTCTTCCTCTTCTGGAAGATCCTCCAGAGCACGGCGGGCACCGGGGCAGGGGTTTTGGGGCTGGGCTTGGCGCTCAGGCCCAAGGATTTCAGCAGCAAACTTTCCTGTAGGCTCAGCTCTGTCCCCAGCACGGGGCCCAGGAGAGCCCAGGCCAGGCTGGGGAGAAGCCACCACATCGCTCTGCTCTCCTTCCCCAGACAAAGAGCAGCAACCCCAGGCTGGGGACCTGGACACCACCGGGGCCAGGGGGGTGTTGATTGCCTGATTGGAGCCTTTGATCTGCTTTAGTGCTCAATTAGCACAGAGGGATTCCGGGGATTGGGCAGAGGTGGGGGGGGGGGGGGGGTGAGTCCCTCCAGGCTCCCCAGGGCCTCTTAACCCTTTGGTGCTGCTCCCACAGCCTCTCCCACATCTCCACACCGTCCAGGCCCTACAACAACATCCCTGGTGGCAGGGAAGGGGCTGCTCTTCCCACACAAAACCCATCCCTGGTGGCAGGGAAGGGGCTGCTCTTCCCACACAAAAACCATCCCTGGTGGCAGGGAAAGGGCTGCTCTTCCCACACGAAGCTGCTGGGAAGCCCCAAGTGCTGCAGGTACATTTTCCCCCCCCCTGGATCCAGGGGCAGACATGGAGCCGGGTCTCCCCTTCCCCCCCCCCCCCCCCTAAAATCAGCTCTTTTTGACACCATCACAGCACCCAACGCTTCTCTCTCAAGGCCATCAACTTCTGGCACATCAAACCATCCAAGTCTTGCTTCACCCTGCCCTCAGGACACACAAGCCCCCCAGAAACGTGGCCAACGAGCCACCAGCTCAGAGCCAACACTGTAAAATCGAGTTTATCCCCCCATCAGGGACCAGGGACCCTCCTTCCCCCAGCCCTGCCCTGCTCAGCCCCATCCTGGGACAGCACCTCCCCCTCATTTCCTGCAAATCCCCCTGGGAAACCAAGGAACCCCCTTGGCACTGCCACCCCTCTGGCACTGCCCAGGTGAGTGAGAAGGTGACGGGTCCTGCCCCAGCCTGGCACAGTCCCCACCAACCCCAGCCAGGAATGTCCCACCCTGGCTCACACCACGAGCCTGGAGCTGAACCCACCCCACAAACCAACCATGGAAACACCAACCCAGCAATTAACCACGGAATTAACGCCCTGAATCCACTGCCTGGGGACCCTCTGAGGCTGGAACTGCCTGGAAAACCAACGCAGGGAGCAGCAGGAACTCTCTGAGCAAGCGGGGAGGGTCCAGGACCCTCGGCAGGGATTGGAACTGGTTTTTGAAGCAAATTAGGTCTCCTGGAGGGACAGGGGGCTGGAATAACACTCCAGGGCTGGTTTTCCAGGCAGAGCTGCTCGTGGGAAGCGTGTGTGCCCCAGGCACGGGTGGGCAGCCCACGGGAGGGCACTTCATCACCTCGCCAGTCCCCCCTGGGCAGCTGGAGCAGGGCTGGCTTTGGGCTGCCCTTCCCAGGGGAGGAGAGGGTGTTCTACCCCCTCAGTTTGACACCAGACCCTTCAGGGGGTGCTGGGGAAGGGTCGGTGGGAGGGTCCAACAAGGGGGTCAGGGGGAGTCACGGCGGGACCGAGAAGGGACGGAGGGACAGCAGCGACACCGGGGGACCCAAAGCCAGCTCCAAATCCTGCCTGGCCCAGCCAGAGCCACCAGTCTCCCAACTGAGGGGGGGCCACAGGAAGCCCCCCCCAGCACCAGGTGAAGCCTGGTGACAGCCCCAGGAGGGGTCTGGTCCTGTCAGTGGCATCTGCTCCCCGGCTCCGGGCAGGGGAGGGGAGGGGGGCAGGGATGGAGCTCTCCTTGGGCCTTTCCTGCGCTGGCTCCGAGTGCAGGGTCCTGGTCAGTCCCAGGTCCTGGCAGCTGCCACGGCCACGCCGCCCTCACAACCTCTTGTCCTTCACGAGCCCGTTCTTGAGGTGCAGCCTGTGGGGGAGCAGAGCACTCGGTGGGTTCCCCACACCCACTGTCCCACCCCTTGTCCCAGCAGGATTGTCCTGTTTGCCCCCACTCAGCCAGAGCTGCTCTGGGGGATCAGCACCCCAAGGTGCTGCTCAGAGGGAGCAGCCCCAAGCCCAGAGCCAGGCCCACGTGGGAAGGGGCTGGGTGAGGATCCACGGGGCAAAGCCGCGTGGGCACCCCGCAAGGCCCAGGAATGGATTTAAAAGTCCTTCCCGGCACCTGCAGCGATGTTTCACACCCATCTCCCAGCCTGGGGGTGAACCCTGAGACAGCAGCTTCCCCTCATCCACGGGAGCTGCGTGTGTGTCACCCCTGGGAGTGTCCAAGGCCAGCTTGGAGCACCCTGGGACGGCGGGAGGTGGCACTGGATGATCCGCACGTTCCCTCCCACCCAAATCCTTCCACTGCCCTGGGTGCCACCCCCCTGGCCACGCACCCTTCCTTCAGAGCCTTGGGCAGTTGGATTCCAGCCTCCTTCTTCCTGGCCCTGGCGGCTTTCCCGGTGTCCTCCACGTCGTACTCGCGCACGTCGTTCACCTCCTGCATCTGCCCCATCAGCACCTTGGCCACGAACAGGACGATGTACTGGGGAGGGGGGGGGAGGGAAAAGACACCCTCAGGCACAGATCCCAAAGGTTTGGAGCTGTTCCCCCTCCCTGGATGGGGCTCAGACCCAGGGTAGAATTCCCTGCAGCTCCCCTTCCCCTGATTTCGTCCCATGGGATGGTGGAGTCAGGGCTGATGGAATCAGGGCTGATGGAATCAGGGATGATGGAATTAGTGCTGATGGAATCAGGTATGGTGGAATCAGGGATGGTGGAATCAGGGATGGTGGAATCAGGGATGGTGGAATCAGGCTCTGCCTGATGTGATCCCCTCCACATCCCTCCTTTCCACGCCCTCCCCAAGGCTCAGGGGGGATGCCAGGACATTCACACCCCCATGGAACTCCAGCCTGTCCCAGCGTTGTCATCACTCCCTCCCCACGGATCCCTGGAGTGTGAGATGTCGGAATTCCAGCACTGGAGCCCCCCAGGCCTTCCCTCCTCCCTTCCAAATCCCCCTCCAGCCCTGCAGCCCCCGGGCAGGGGGGAGGGAGCAGCAAGTGAGGGGGTGGCCGAGCTCCCCCCACTCACCAGGAACCAGTAGATGTTCATCAGGGTGAGGATGAGGAGCAGAGCGTTGAAGAAGAAGTAGAAGGGGATGTTTGGGACCACCTGGAGGCTGGAGTAGCAGGTGGCATAGAGCACCTTGAGGGGGAACCAGTAGAGGCGGAACCAGAACCTGCCAGGGCAGAGCAGCAGAGTGGGTTTCCAGTTTATCCCCCAAAAACCTTCCCCCAAACTGAGCCTCTCGATGCTTTTTGGAGCAGCCCAGGGCCGAGAGGACAAGGAGGGACAAGTTGCTCATCCCCACCCTTCATCCCTCTGTTTCCCTCCTGCCTTGCCCCAGGAGGAGCAGCAAGGCTGGGAATCTGGGACAGCTCGAACCTCCCTTTTCCTGCTGGTGAGAAGCAGCTCCTTGCTGCTCCAGCCCTGCAAGCAGGAAAAAATGGAAGCAGCTCCTCCTCCTCCCCCGGGGTCATTTGTCATGCTGGGAGCACAAATTTCACAGGCACTTGGGTGGTGACAGACGGCCAGGGTGACTACAGAGGGATTCCAAGCCCAGCCAAGTGACTACAGAGGGATTCCAAGCCCAGCATGGGGCCGAGCTCTGCGGGGAACCTCTTCCCAAACCCACTTGGAAAGGGCCCCGTTCCCATCACACCAATCCCAGGGCGCTGAGGGGGATCCCAAAAGCTGGGCAGGAGGGTTGGGAGTCAAACCCACCAGCTGACGCTGAAGGTGAGGCAGCCCACGTTGGAGATGACGTCGTTGAGCCGGTGATAGACCCCCCCCCGGTGCTTGAAGTAGACGTTGAGCTTGGTGAACTCCAGCTGCACATCATTGACATCGTGCAGGAACAGCACCAGGATGCCCACGTTGTGGTACCTGCAGGGAAAAGGGAAGGAGGTGGTGGGGGGGGGGGTGTAGAGGGGCTGGGTTTGGCACCTGGGGGTGCCAATCTCACTGGGGGCAGGTTCAAGGGGCAGTCCCGACAGTCAGAGGTGGGTGCAGGGGCTGGGGAGATCTGGGATGGCTCAGGGAGGTGGAGGAAGGGGAGAATCCTCACCAACCCAGCTCTGAGCCCACCACAGAGTCCCTGAGCAGCCCAGAGAGCCAGACAGGGGTGCAGGGGCTGGGGGGCACCGGGATGGCTCAGGGGGGTGCAGGAAGGGGAGAACCCACACCAAGCCCTGAGTCCATCACACTGGGAGCAAACCCCCCCGAGCAGTTCAGAGGGGGGCTCAGGAGCCCTCAGGGGCAGGAAGGGGCGAATCCACCCCCAAATCCTCCCTGTGCCCGCGATGTTCCCGCAGGCCGTGCATCCCCAGGCCCAGGCGGGCAGAGGGGCCTCACCTGAAGGCGTAGGAGGAGGCGATGAGGGTGAGGGTCACCACGTGGTGCAGCAGCATCACCACCGAGTCCTTGCGCCACGTGTCCATGTAGGCCGTGGCGTAGATGGAGTGGCCGTAGAAGCTGCACTGCAGCAGGTAGGCGATGGCGATGTCCGTGGGCACGTCCATGCCCTTCTTCCAGCCTGGGGAGGGGGGCACAGGGACGCCCAGGTGAGCCCCAGAGCCTGTGGGGTGCAGACCCCGGGGAGCCCCCGCCAGGCTCAGGGGCTGCAGGTCCCTCCCAGCTCAGCCAGGGCTTGGATTGGGGGGGTCCAGCTACCCTGGCCCCCAAATTCTGCCTCTGGCATCAACCCTCCTGCTGGGCCCGAGAGAGAAGCCTTGATTTGGTGTCCCTGCCCAGGGCAGAGGGTGATCTTCGAGGCCCCTTCCACCCCCAAACCATCCCACAACTCGATTCCCTCCTGATTAATCTGCTCAACCCCCTCCACCCCCCCTGCTGACTCTCTGAAAGAAACAATCAGAGCCAGCCCCTTGTGCCCTCTCTGCACCCACAGCATCAGGGAACAGCAAATTTAGGGGTTGTCTCCTCCTTCTCTCACCCACCCCAGCTCCCATTCCCATTCCCAATCCCAATCCCCCCCTGGCTCCGACTGTACCGTAAAAGACAGATGGGGGGTCGTGGAAGAAGGGGTAGTCGGTGAAGAAGAGCAGGTAGGCGCCGTAGGACCAGGATAACGAGTAGAAAAGCAGCTTCCAGGCACTCTCGGGCATCTTGGCAGCATCTTTGGGCTGCAGGTTACACCATTCCCCAAAGGGCTGCAGGGAGAGGGGGGTGAACCATCAGAAAGGGCAAGAGGAGAGGCCTCGAGGAGCTCAGGGCAGAGATTCCCCAACTATCCCAGAGGTTTGTGCTGCTCCAGGGGCAGGAACCCCTTTTTTCTGGCCTTCCTTACAGCAGGAATGAGGTCAAAGAGGGCTGGAGAGAGCCTGAAACAGGGTAGGGGGGGAGAAAACCAGGCTGGAGATCCTCCCTGGATCCTGGCACAGTGGGCATCCCACATCCCAGGCACTGCTCCAGCCTCCAGGAGCCAGGCTGAGCAGAGCTAGAAATAACCAATAAAATAACACAATAACGAATAAAATGAAAATAAAGCCCCCACCAGCACGGGGAAAGCCGGGAGAGGAAGCTGTAACAGCACCATCCTGGGCAGATGGACCTCGCAAAAGCTTCCAGGGAAGAGCCTTCAGCTGGGGAGGGAAAGGCTTTGCAGAGCCCTGGGCAGAGGGGCAGTGCCAGCCAGCACTGGGAAAGGGGCAGGAAAGGCTGGGACAGCAGGGCCCGCTTTCCCAGCAGCTTTCCCAGCTGCCCAGCACTGAAACCTCGCTGATGTTTCCCCTCCTGGGGTTTTCAGCACCTTCCCACCCCTCTGGGAAAGAGAGAGGGGAGGGCAAAGCCCCCCCAAGGGCAGGGATGGGGCACGGGGGGGGCTCTGCTTGTGTGAATCAGAACAAAACTCTCTCACCCCGCCTTCCCCACGCTCCCAGGGGTGACAGGGGCCACCTGGGACACCTTGGAAATCACAGGGAAGGCAAAGCCCCAGCTCTGAAGAGCCTCAGTCCTGCGGGAGGGAAGCGGAGCAGTCTCCTCTCCACCCTGCATTGTGTCCCCCCCCCGGCTCTCAGGGGGCTCCAGGCACGGCTCTTCTCCCCTCCCTGGCAGCTGAGCAATGCCAGGCCCCGTCTCTGCTTCTCCTCACAGCACTGACAGCCCCCCTGCACAGCCCCCCGGGGAGGAGCAGGGGAGCCCCAGCCCAGGGAGGGGACGCTGATAACACCCAGAGCCCCCCCTGTCCATCCAGGAGCTCCTCAGGGACAGCCAGATAAGCTGCAGAGGAAAACAAAATGCCTGGAAAGTAACTGTACCCTGCCCCAGGTCAGCACTTTCTGCAGCCCCTCGAAGCCCCAGGGCTAAATTAAGGCCCCAGCTGTCCCCAGGCAGTGGCTGCTCTGGCTTTTAGCCCCTCTCGGGGTCCAGTTCTCAGAGGACTCCACTCCAAGCTTTGACCCAGCCTCGAAGTGCTTTGTTCCAGGCTCTGAATCTCCCGGCACTGCTCAGGCCTGGGAGCAGCAGCCCCAGGAGGCTCCAGCCAGAGGCATCTCCCATTCAGAGCGTGGCTCTGGCTGAGGGCAGGAACGGCTGCCAAGGGCTCTTCCAGAGGGAGCCACGGCGGGAGAAAGAGGAGGAAGCTCGAAGGGTGAATAAATAATGCAGAGACAGAAAGTCCCGAGCCCAGAAAGCATCAATTATTTGTGTCTCCACGCACTGGAAGGAGCTGGGATACGGGGACAGCTCCCACTGTGCCGTGGCAGAGCCACCGGTGCTTTAGGGATGCTGAGCACAGCCCCAGGTCCCCGTTTATCCTGGGATGATTCGGGGGGGAAGGCACTCCAAAGATCCAGCTCCGTGGGCACCAGGGACACGTTCCAGAGGAGCAGGGTGCTCCAGGATGCAGGAGAGAGCACAGGGAAGGGCGGGAAGAGAACCAGCAGCACACGGGGAAGGGACACGGGAATGTCCCCGGGGCCGGGAGCGGGAGGGGTGGGGGGGGAAGCACAAGCCACGGAGCCCGGGGGTGGAGATGAGCAAGGTGGGGGCTGTCCTCCCGTCACCCGGCTGCCGTTGCCATGGCAACGGCGCAGAGATGCCTGTTGCTAAGGGTGACGGGGGCTGCGAGTCGGGAACAGCGGATCTGGCTCCGGCTGAAAGAGCCCAGGGCTCTTGGAACGCTTAAAGGGCAACCTCCTCTGCCTCCCCCTCCCCACGCAAACCTCGCCAGGCACCTTCTGGGGACAATTAACAGTTAATTGGGGGCAGGGCCTGTCCCCGGCACGCTGGAGCGGGGGAAGGAGCAGAGCAGGGGGTGAGAACGTGCAGAGAGAGGAAGGTTTGGAGCCGCAAAGGGAAGCCGGATGGAAGCTGTCGCTGCCCACAGCCCCTCTCGAGCGTCAAAAAAAGAAACCCCACAACCACTCGTAGCAAGAAGCGACCGCGTTTTCTCTCCCTTTTCGCAGCCGCGGGCGGGAGGGGAGAGCAGCGAGTCAGTCCCCTCGCACCCACGGCCCGCAGGACGCGGCTCCTCCCGCCGGGGATGGGCTGGGAATTGAGGAGCGGGGACTGGCCCAGTGCCAGCCGTGCCACGTCTGGGCCCCCCCGGGCACAGCGAGTTCCGCAGAGGGACACAAAGGAACGGCTGGCACGGGGCACCCTCGGCGCCGGGAACTGGCAGCTCCACAGCGGCTTTGACTGGATGCAGATGAGGATGATGATGATGGTGGCGATGAGCAAGCAAGAGCTCCCGTTCAAACCCCGGCCACAACCGGCAGCTCCTGCCCCTGCCACGAGCTGCCCACAGCGCCCTGGGTGGCTTCCCAGCGCTGTGACTCTGTCCCCTCTGTCCCCAGCTCCTGTACCTCCTGCCACCCCAGGGATGGGGCACAGAGCCTGCAGAACCCCAGACTGGTTTGGGTGGGAAGGGATCCTGAAGATTATCCCATTCCACCTCCTGCCGTGGGCAGGGACACCTCCCACCAGCCCAGGTTTCTCCAACCTGGCCTTGGACACTTCCAGGGATCCAGGGGCAGCCACAGCTTCTCTGGGAAATCCATCCCAGCTCCTCCCCACCCTCCCAGGGAGGAATTCCTTCCTCATTCCTCATCTATCCCTGCCCTTTTTTCAGGGAAAACCCTGTAAAATGCCACCGTTCTCCAAACCCAAAGAGAGGGCTCTCCACAGCCTGTGCACCCCGGGGCAGTGACTGTCACCCCACCAGGAGAAGGGAAGGAGCTGAGCACGGGCTGAGGAGCTCCAGCTCCCATCACCCCATCCCTGCAGGCGCCGCTTCCCCGGGGCCTCAGTTTCCCAGACAACGCTTTTCCAGGGAAACACGTGGAAAAGGGCACCACGACAATACCAAAATAAAAAAAAATAAAATAAAACCCGAACAGGCATCACTTCCTCGCCCCTAAAGAGAGAAAAGCAGCAGGAGACTCTCCCTGAGGACCCTCCGAGCTGCCCGTGGTGCTGCGGGGGCTGAGGAAGCCCCTGGCCCAGCCCCGGTGCTGACACAGCAGTGCAGGGAGAGCAGCCCCCTCACTCCAGGGAGGGAAGAAAGGGCCCATTGTTGTGGCTTTTGTCCCGTTTGGAGTTTCCCAGCGTTTGTGCTTCGAGGACAAACGGCGGAGCCTCCTCCCACCCCCCTCCCCAGGGGGAGGTCTCTGCCCTCGGGCGGTGTTGGGTGGTGGGTTTTTGGGGACCCCATCCCCCTCCCCGGGTCACACATCCCCCTCCGGGGCTGGGAAAAATAAACCCTGACCATACCGTGGGGTGGAGGAAAGGGGTGTAAACCCCTGGAAGGGGCAGAGGGAACCCTCCCTGTCCAGCTGCCCCTCTCTCCCAACCCTGCACACAACGCTTCTCCTTCCAGAGGACACTGCAACGTCCTCCAGACTTGGACACCACTGGGAAACACACACACACAAAAAAAAAGGCTGGCAGGTGTCTGGGCCAAAACTAGAGAACATTCACCCACTGCAGAACAAATCCACGGGGGGGGAGGGGGGAGGGGACACCTGACCCACCACCAGATCCAGCTTGTACACTGAGAGGATTTTCCTCACTCAGGGGACTTACTCTTAGTTCACTCCAGGGATTTCAATCCCAAGCAGCAGAGGTGGCTCGGGGTGGTTCGAGGGGCTGGGAGCCTCTGCCTGGGACTGGCTGTTCCAGCCCATCCTGTGCCTGAATCCAGAGGTGTTTTTACCCATCTGGATTCACTGCCCTGGCCCAGGAAAGGAGAACCAGCACGGGCTGAGCTCCAGGTGCTCCAGCCTTTCCCAAGTGGAGCTGCCTGGTCCTGTTTCAGCAGATCAGCCTCGGTGCCCTCCAGGGTGTTTAACTAACACACACAGAGGGGCTCAGGTTGCTGCTTTTTAATCAAACTCCTCAGGGCTGGCTGGTGTCACACAGGGGACTCACCAAGGACAGCAGGGACTGATGGAGCTCGGACACCAAAGGAGCAGAACCCAAGGAGGCTTCCAGGGATGGGAGCACTGCCCTGGAGGCAGCTGAATCCTAAATTCTGGAGGTGGTTTGCAGCCCCAGTGAGCTCCTGCAGATCCACTATCCTGTCTGTGCACTCAGAATTCAACCCAGACCCTCAGGCCAGACCTGGAGGGGACAGTTCCACCCCTCAGGTCCCTGCAGGGACACCCCCACCCCAGCAGAGCTGACCCTGGGGGTCCTTCCCTGCCTCACAATCCTCATTTCCTCAGCTAACTGAGATCCTCCCACCCCAAAACAACCCCTCTCTGCGCTCACACCGAGGTTTCCACAAAGAAGGCTTTAACAGCCTCGTTTCTCATGGGCCAGAGCTCAGCAAGGTGCACTTGGTGCCCTTGTGGTGAGAGTCACTTCCTCCTCAGGGGCAGAGGAGCACGAGCTTTATGGTCTGGGAGGGAAGGGAACCTTCACCCCCCCCCTCGAGCCTTTCAGTTCCTGCAGGGAACACAAAGAGGGCCCAAAGGAGGAAGAGGCTCCAAGTCTGCCCAGGGAAGAGAAGTCCTGAGCTGGGGAGAAGTTCCCTCCCAGGGTTTTCTCTCCCTGATGTCCCCCCCCCTCGAATGACCCCACTCTGACACTGCCCCCCACGGGGGCCACGAGGTACCCACTGATCTCCCGATGGGATTTAGGGGAAAGCCACAACGTCCATCCTCTCCCAGGGCAACTCCAGCAGCGTGAAGGAGAGGGGAAAGCTTCCCATCCTTTTGAGGCAGGTGTGTGCAGGGGGAGCTGCCTCTGCCCTTGCACTGGGAGAAAGCTGATGCCGCTGGAACCCCGCTCGGCATCTCATCAGGATCACACATGCAGATGGAGCCACTGGAACCCGCTCCCAGCAACCCCCCTGGCCCTTCTGCAGTTACAAGGGTGACCCATTTCCCAGCTCAGGAGCTGCCACGACCCTCCAAGGGCACCCCAGTGGTGCCCCCCACCACCCCCAGGAGCTGCTTGCCAGGCTCTGGAGGGGCCTCAGGCCGGGAGGAACGGGAGCAGAAAGGGACTTGTAACCAAAAACTACCTCAGACCTCGGTCAGTCCAGCACTCCCAGGTGCTGGATGCTGCCCATCCCAGCCAGGGGTGCAGGGAATGAGGGGGAAATTCCACCTGACACAACCCCCCAGCGCATTCCTCACCTACAACCACTTCAGCAGCTTCAAGTGACTCCAGAGGGCTCTGACTGGACCCGCCTGACATCAGTGGATGAGCAAAGGAAGAGCCCCTGTGAGGGCAGAAGGGCTGGGATAGCTGGGGACAGGGATGCAGGAACTGCCTCTGATCCATGAGGAGCCTCCAGGGGAAGCAGCTCAGCCAGGGAATGAACGAGGCCTGTCCTGGAGCTGCTCAAGGCCTTGTGTCCCTGTGCTGGTGGGGAGGTGGGAAAAGGGTGTCCCCCTGTGTCCCCAAGGCTGTCCCCTGACCCCAAACCCTCCATCCCCTCTGCTTCTGCCTTTAAAGCCCTCTCGAGCAGAGTCCTGAGCATCTCCCTAGGAAAGCAGCGTGGAAGGAACGGGCTGGGAAGAGCCATTGGAAGGAGGGGGGAGCTCTGCCCTCCCTCCACATGTTTTTCACGGCGACAAACGAAGCGGAGCCGCTCTTCCTGCTCAGGGACGTCCTGCCTCGGCCTGTCCCTCGCAGAGGGCCGCGTTGGAGAGGGGGACGAGGGCCAGCAAACCCCTTTGGGGGCTGGGAGAGCCGGCCGGGAGCATCCCTGCATCCCCACGCTGGCAGGAAGGTCAGCGCGGCACTGCAGCACCGAGCCAGCCATCCCCAGCCATCCCTCCCTCCCTCCCTCCTTCCCTCCACCGGGCAGGGAAGGACATTTTCCATGCAAACCACCGGGGGAGAAACACGCCCCTCTCCTTCCCCCCAGGAAGGCGACGAGCCGGGAATAGGCTGGAAGAAATAACCCTCAGCCTTGTGGGGATGCAGTGACGGCGATGTGGAAGGGGGAGGGGGTTGCTCTCCCGGGGCGGGGGGATGCGCGTTCCCTCCGGGATGCAGCCCCGAGGGAAGGCAGGGAACAAGCTGGGAATAACCTGGAAGGAATAACTCTCAACCATGTCGGGATTCAGTGATGGGAATGCGGAGGGGGGAAGAAGGGGGTCGGGGAAGGGGGGGATGCTCGTTTTTCCAGGATACAGCCGCGGGGGAAGGCAGGGAATAACCTGGAAGAAATAACCCTCAGCCTTGTCGGGATGCAGCGATGGGGACGCGGAGGGGAAGGGATCGCCGGGGGAGGGTGGGGGGCTCTCCCGGCGCTGGGGGAATGCTCGTTCCTCCGGGATGCAGCCCCGCCGTGGAGGGACGAGGCGTGGGGTGCATTTCCCACCCCCGAACCGCACAGAACGCGCCTCCCCGCGCACCCCACCGGCACCGGGGCCGACCCCAAAGAGACCTCCACCCCCCCTCCCCGGTAGCCCCCCATCCCCATCCGCGTCCCCCGCGGCCGGCACTGACCCGAAAGATGCTGCGGGAGCAGGCGCAGCGCAGCGCGGTCCAGCCCAGCGCGCACAGCCCGCACAGCAGCACCTCCGCCCAGCCCAGGTGAGCGTTCTCGGCCCAGGTCCGCCTCGCCAGCTCCCAGCCGCAGTCCCCGCAGCCCCGGGCGGCCTCGGCCAGGCTCCCGTAGCCCCGGCGGAGCAGGGTCCCGTAGCCGGGCATGGGCTCCGGAGGCGGCATCGCTGCCACGGCCGCGCTCGCCGCCCGCGGCCCCGCGCAGGCTCCGGCGGGCGGGACCGCGGCCCCCCCCGCGCCGGTACCGGGCGACAAGAGCCGCCCCCCGCCACGGCCCGGCCCCCTCCGGGCTCTGCCGGGGCTCCCCGAGGGGGCAGAGGCTCCTGGAGGGAGTTCTTGGAGGTTGCGGAGTGGGTTTGGTGGGGTTTTTTGTGTGTGTGTGTGTCCCGACAACGCCGGAGGACGAGCTGGGAGAGCGGGGCTGGAGCCGCTCCAGCAGCGAGGAACGGGCAGAAAGAGCGATGTTTCGGTCTCAAGAGGTGATGGAACGCTGGAGGAGCGCCCGGGGGCGCCTTTGGGGCGGTCGTGGGGGTGGGAGGTCCCCGCAGCACCGTCCAACACCACTGAGCTGCTCCGTGTTCCAAACCCTGGACTAAACCTTAAATTCCCAGACCAAACCTTAAAAATCTCGCACCAGACCTTCTCCTTTCAACGTTTTTTTCACTCTCCACCTTTTTTTTTTTTTTTTCCATTTAATACACAAAGGGAAATGTTTCTCCAGGTTATTTTCCCCTTACCTCTGAGCACCAGCCCTGGAGGAGCAGCAGATCCATCTCCCTCCCTCCCAGAGGTGACCAGGTGTGTCCCACGGGCTCAGTTTGGGCACCTGCTGCAGTTCAAAGGTCTGGAATAATGAGATGTAAGATTGCACCTGTAAGATGCAAACACGCCCTCCCCGAAGGTCACCCCTGCTGGAAGACTGAATGTCACCTCCATCATCATCATCATCATCATCATCATCATCATCATCATCATCATCATCATCATCATCATCACAGGCACCATCGAGCTGTAACTGCAACCAGCTGGCAGGGAGAGGAAAAGACAAGCTAGAAATGAGTTTAATCTCATTTAAAGCCATCCAGGTTCCCCCCTGGAACCTCTCATTGCTCCGGGGCAGCAGTGGGAAAACACAAACTGGCTCCCCCCCCCGGGGTCCCACCGCTCCCCCCTCCGGCTCCTGCTCTGCCACTCGCTTTCATTGTTTACATTTTTAAGTCAATTTATCACGGCCCATCAAGTGGGGACGGGCTGCCCTGAGCACACAAGCCCCTTTCAGGTCTCCCTCAGACAGCTCCACAAAGGGAACATTCATTCCCCGGGCCGGGCCGTGAATAAACCCCTCACTGAAAGGAGCTGCAGAGCCAAGGGAGGGGACAAAGAGCCCTTTGAGGGCCAGCACGGCCAGGGGGGCACCAAGGAAGCGCCCGTGGGACACACATTGACAGTGCAAACCCCCCCTTTCCCCTCCCCAAACGATAATTCCCAGGATGATCCCAAATATTCCAGGGCAGGAGGGCCCAGCTGAGGGTTCCACGGGGCCCATCCAGGCACTGGGTGGGACACGAAGGCCACGATCCCAGGGTTGTATCCCAGGACACTTCCAACAGGGGCTGGTGACAAGGGCAGAGCCCCACGTGCTCCGGGAGGGATGCCCTGGCTCCAGGACACACATCCCGGCTCCAGGACACGCCCGAGGCTCAGGCTGAGCCTCTTACGGCAGGATTAGTTTTTATTTTGGGAGTTTTCCCCTCCATCACCAGCAGTAACAGCCCTACAAGCCAGGGATCCATCTCCCAGGGGGTGCTGAAGTCACAGGAGGGGTGGTCAGATGGACTGAGGGAAGATCCATAACTCAGGATTGATCCAGGTGCTGAGGGCTTAAAACTGACCTTCACACTCTTGCACCTTCAAACAGGGCTCAGTCCTGCAGTGGAATCACCTGAATTCCAGAAATTAGGGGGGGCACAAAGATCCAGGAAAAGCTTTATTAGGAATATTTAAGGTACAAGGGTTGCACCCTCTTGATCTGCACTGGAGTTAATCCAGGGCCCAGGGGGGGCTCTGAGCCCCCAAATTCGGGTGCTGGACACAGGTACAGCCCCACCCCTGCTGGGCCACCAGGCTGACCTGAAGGGGGGATTTCCCACGTTCCAGAGGGGCATTTTCCGTGTTCCAGGGAACAGGAACCCCCCAGGAAAGGCCCAGCCCGGCCCCTCAGGCGCTGGGTGCGTATTGCAGGGCCAGCCGGTCGAAGTCGTTCTCCTGCAAGCAGAGGCCAAAAGGAAGGAAACTTTAAATAAATCCAAACCTCAGTTAATGCAGAGTTTATCACATTCCCAGGGAAGAGAACAGCTCACTAAGTCTGGAGGAACTCTAAGGAACGAGATCACCTGCCCTAATTTTTGTTTGCTTCGTTTTCCCTTCCCCTCTCCCCAAAATTCTATTTAATCTCTTACATTCCTTCTATCCAATATCTGATGGCAACAAATTTCCACCTGGATTAATAACCTGCCCCTCAGAGCTTTTGTGCCTTGCTCAGGTACCTCCCACCCGGCTCGTGCTTCCCAAAAATCTCTCCCAAGGGCTGGAAAACTGAACTCCAGGGTGACAGGGCAGGAAGGTGGAGCTCCCCCCGCTCAGGCCACAACCCACCTGCCCCACCACAGCTTGAGCTGAGGCCAAATAAATTCGACTTTATGTCATTAATTTCTACTCTGTACCTTTGCCTGGTACTCCTTGATGAAGGGGTGGTTCTTGTGAGCGTCCTTCAGCTGCGACAGGTAACGATTGGTGACCTGGAGGGGCGAGGAAAGCGAAGTTTAAACGTTCAAAAAAACGGGAGGAGAAGCCCAAAGTGCAACAAATTAACCCCTCAAAGGGTTTGGTTCACAGCTGAAAACCCGATCTTCTCAGTGTCCCCCATGTCAGCAGCCCCAGTGGAAACCAGTAGGACCTTTTAAAAACAGTAAAGACCTCAAAGGTCATTTAATTCCAAGCCTTCCCAGGGAAGGGACATTTCCCAGGTGGCTCCAAGCCCTGTCCAGCCTGGCCCACGTGCACTGGATTTCCACCAACACCTCCTGAGAGGTGTGAGCTCCCCACCCCCAGAGCTATCCCCCTTTTTCACTGCCCAGGCCCTGCTGGGAACACACAGAACTCCCAAAGTTCTCGGGTCCAGCGGGAACACAAACCCAATCCAGCCTCACCTCCGGAGCCTTTCCCAGGTGCTGCGAGAGCACCACGAGGTTCAGGAGGGTCTCAGGGTGGCCACTGTCCTGCAAGCAACAACAGCCACAGATTCCTGGGATTGACAGCAGCAACCAGCCCTGCCCAACCCCCTGCCCTGGGGGTGGGAGCAGGGACGGACACGGGATGGAGGGACAGGACCAGGGAAAGGCTTCCCACTGCCAGAGGGAGGGTTAGGTGGGATACTGGGGAGGAATTCCTGGCTGGGAGGGTGGGAAGGGGCTGGGATGGATTTTCCAGAGAAGCTGTGGCTGCCCCAAAACCATCCTGGGGTTCCAACCCCAAACCATCCCGGGGTTCCAATCCCAAACCATCCCAAGATTCCGACCCCAAACCATCCCGGGGTCCCACCACCAGCCCCACCCTCAGCGACACCAACCCATACAATGGCATTTCCATGGGTTTTCCTGGGGAAAGCTCTCGCTGTTCTCCCCAGCAACCCCCCCTGGGAGGTGGGAAAAGCAGGCAGCACCTTGTCTAGAGCCTCCTGGAGAACTCCCTCGGCATCATCCCACTTCCCCTGGGCCATGTAGCAGGCGGCCTGCCCGTTCAGCAGCAGGAGGGTGGGCGAGCACTTGTCTGCCATCTCTTGGAAAATGTAATAAGCGTCCTGCAGCTTCTCCCCACCCTGCAAAAGGAGGAGACAAAACACCCCCAGGGCTGCCAAGAAGCCCCTAAAACCTCGAGGCACCAGAACCACTTAAATGATCCAATGAGCCCCCCCAGGAAGGGGAGCTGTGGGGGTTTCTGGGGGGGCTGTGGGGTAGGAATCCCTTTCCCAGGTACCCACCACGGCCAGGTTCACCCAGGCAGTCGCCAGCTGGGTCAGAGTCGCGTCCTCGTCCTGCTCCTGCATCTTCTTCAGCTCCTTCCTGCAGTCAAACCACCCCTGGTTGTGTCACTGCAGGGGCTGGATCCTCCCCCTCTCCCCTCCAGGCCCTCCCCACACAGGACACCCCCAGAGAGCAAAAGGAGCCAAAACCCACCGGGCCAGGTCGAGCCTGTCGAGCTTCAGGAGGATCTGGATGGTCATGGCCATGCTGGAAGGAACAAGAGAACGGGGATTTGCAGGGCTGGGCTCCAGCATCCTGCTGGGATCCAGCTCGGGGTGCTCTGGGATGAGGCCCTGGGATGGATTTCCCGGAGAAGCAGCGGCTGCCCCACCCCTGGGAGCGTTCCAGGCCAGGCTGGACACCCTGCTTGGTGATTTTTAAGGTCTTTCCAAGCCCCAATCGCTGAGCGATTCCCTGCCCTGAGCCTGGGAGCCTCCTCCCAGCTCCCTGCCTGCCACAGTGTGCCCGTCTCAGCAATCAGTGGATCATTCTCCCACTCCCACTCACCACTCCAGGCTGTCCCCCTGGTGCAGGGCCCTCAGGGCGGCGTCGGGGTTGTGCTCGTGGACGTAGATGGAGGCTGCCATCAGCAGGAAGGTGGTGTTGGCCACGTCCACGCTCCTGGCCATCTTCTTGTCCAGCTCAGCCACGATGGTGTCCCTGGGGACAGCACAGGGAGGGGAGGGAGGTGAAACAGCCCCACAGGGACGGGGCTGCCCCATCCTGGGAGCGTCCCAGGCCAGGCCTGGGATAGTGGGAGGGGAGAATTCTGGGATTCTGTGGATTGTCCCTTATTGAGATTCACTGCAACAACACAGAAATCACAATAACAACCCCCCCCCCCCCCATTCTGCAAGAAAATTCCCACAGGGAAACATTCCCTGTGGGGAATTCTGGAGTTGCTGTACTATATAATCTCTTCTATATTATTATATCATATTCTTTTGTATTTTATTATATAATGATATTATGTTATTACATAATATATTATGCTGTTTTATATTTACTGTATTATGTCATAATGGTATATTTTATATTATTTTATTATTTTCATTTATATTTCATTATATCATAACACTATATCACAATATTCTAGTATATCACATATGTCATATTGCTATATTTTATAATGTCATATTTTATATTATTTACCATATTATTTTATATTATATTATTTTACATTATATTATATTATTTTATTTTATATTATTTTATTTTATTATTTTATATTTTACTTTATTATAACACTATATCACTATATTATATATCACAAAATTATGTTACATTTTATCCTGTTATATTGAATACTACATATTATTTTATATAATATTTTGTTATTTAATATTTTATTATACTTTAACACCGTACCATATTATATCATAATATAATATTATGCTATTATATTACATTATATGATATGATATGATGTGATATTATATTATATGATATTAAATTATGTTATACTCTATTTTAGGGGCTGATCTCTCTTACCTCTGGCTCTCATTTGCCAGGTACTCTGCCAGCATCCTCACTGCCTGGAGCTCGGGGCTGGCATTGCCTTTGATCTCATCCAGGACTACTCCATATTTCCTCTGGGAAAGGCAACAAAGCCCAGCCCGTGAATCCCTTCTTGTTTTCCAGAAAGAATTCCCTAAACCCTCAGTCAGGACAGAACATCCCCCCCGGGAAAGGTGGATTTCTGCTTTATAACCCCCCAAACCTCCTGAACCGGCACCACCCCAGCCCCCAGTCCCGGGATGGAGAGACCCGGGAGAGTGGGAACGTCCCTGCCCATGGAAGGGGTGGGATTGGATGATCCTTGAGGTCCTTCCCACCCAAACCATCCCAGGATTCCATGGCCGATCCCACATCCCGGCCCGTGGATCCCTCACCTGGGCGATGTAGGCTCGGAACAGGAACACGTCCCTCTCCACCTCCTTCTCGGGGCTGGACGGCTGGAAACGGGAACGTTTGAGGGGACTGTCCGTGCACAGCCCCCCGGAGAGCCCCTCACACACCCCCAGCCCCTCAGGGACCCCCACCCCACTCCCTCCCGCAGCCCCGCCGACCTTGGCGCGCTGCGCCTCGTTGATGGCGGCCTGGAAGGCGCCGATGTAGAAGCTGTTGCGGAGGTCGAACAGCTCGTCCGCGTCCCCGCCCGGCGCCGCTCCCGTCCCGGCCGCCATCGCTCCCTCACACACGTACCCGGAAGCGCCCGCCGGGAGGAGCCGTCGCCATGGCGACAGCCAATAGGAGGGCGAAGATCCCGCCGTCGCCATGGCGACAGCCAATAGGAGAGCGAGGAGCCCTCCGTCGCCATGGCGACAGCCAATAGGAGACGTGAATGTCACCGCTGCGACGGCGAGAAACCCCGCTAAGCATGGCTATGTGGACGGGTCCGGAAGGGAGGTGGCCAATGGGCGGCCGGAGCGGCGGTGATGCCATCGGCGCGCGCCCGAGGCGGGGCTCTCGCGTGGGCCGGGGCGATGGCGGCGTTCCGGGCGCTCGGGCTCTCGCCGTGGCTGGCGGAGCAGGCGCGGCAGGTCGGGCTCACCCGGCCCACGCCCGTGCAGGCCGCTTGCATCCCCGCCGTGCTGCAGGGTGAGACCCCCCCCCCCCCCTCCGCGGCCCCCGGGAGCGGCCCCTCGCGTCCTCTGTCCCATCCCATCCCCTGCCCCTGGCGGGACCCTCCCTCCATCCATCCCCCGGGAACGGCCCCGTCCTGCCCCGGGAATGGTCCCTGACGCCTCCCGGCCCGTCTCTCACGGTCCCCGTCCCTCCCGCAGGCCGGGACTGCCTGGGCTGCGCCAAGACGGGCAGCGGGAAGACGGCAGCCTTCGTGCTGCCCGTGCTGCAGGCGCTGTCCGAGGACCCCTACGGCATCTTCTGCCTCGTGCTCACCCCCACCAGGTACCGAGGCACCCCCGCGGCGGGATGAGACCCTCCCCTGCCGCCGGGAGGCGACCCCCCTGAGCCTCCCCCCTTCCTTCCCTCCCTCCCTCCCTCCCTCCGCAGGGAGCTGGCGCAGCAGATCGCGGAGCAGTTCCGAGTGCTGGGGAAGCCCCTGGGCCTCAAGGACTGCGTGGTCGTGGGCGGCCTCGGTGAGTCCCGGGGGGGCTTCACCCCCTCCCCCCTGACCCCCGGTGAGGGTGCGGTGGGAAAGGGGGGGATTTCATGGAGCCCTGGAATAGCCTGAGCTGGAGGAGAATGCACAGCCCTGGGGCTGTGCCCACTGCCCTGGGGAGCCTGGAGTTTATAAACATAAATATAAATATAATATAATACAATACAATATAGTATATGTAAATTATATACTATATATTATATATAATGTATACATTATATACATTTTGTGTATCTATATATATGCATTGTATAACATGTATGTAATATGTACATTTAATATGTATAATATAATATAAAGAATGGCATATATTATATAATAGCATAATATATATTATGCAATAGCATATGTTATAGAATAAAATATTATATATTATTATATATATAATATCTATTATATGTGATATATATGTATAACCTGTAATATATATAATAAATGTGTGTAATGTAAAATATATGTTATATATTTATAATATGTTATATAATGTCTAATGTGATATATTATTTATAGTATTATATTTCCTAACCATATATACAATATATCCATGTATACTGTATGCAATATATACTATATATTGCTGTATAATATATAACGTTTTATATTATTTATACTGTTATATTTTTATACCTACATACATATCTATATAAAAATATACACAACATATACATGTACAATATCCATACAATATCCATAGAATTTCCATGCAATATCCAAGCACTGTTTCCCCCCCAGACATGGTGACCCAGGCCCTGGAGCTGGCCAGGAAGCCCCATGTGGTGGTGGCCACGCCGGGCCGGCTGGCGGATCATCTGCGCAGCTCCAGCACCTTCAGCCTCAGGAAGATCAAATTCCTGGTAAGGCCCTTTCCCAGAGGGGGGGAATGGTTGTTTTTTGGGTGCCTGAGGGCGTTCCCGGCTGGCTGAGTGCTGATGGGGTCTGTTCCCAGGTGCTGGACGAGGCTGACCGGCTGCTGGAGCAGGGCTGTGCCGACTTCACCGCCGACCTGGAGCTCATCCTGGAGAGCGTGCCGGCCCGGCGCCAGACCCTGCTGTTCAGTGCCACCCTCACTGCCACCCTGAGCCAGCTGCGGGGCCTGGCTGCCAACGAGCCCTTCTTCTGGGAGGCCCAGTCTGAGTGAGCCCAAGGAGCCCCTGAGGGAGCTGGGGGGGGCTCAGCCTGGAGAAAAGGGGGGTCAGGGGGGACCTTCTGGCTCTGCAACTCCCTGACAGGAGGGGGGAGCTGGGAAGGGTCGGGCTCTGCTCCCAGGGAGCAACAGGACAAGAGGGAACGACCTCAAGCTGCGCCAGGGGAGGGTCAGGTTGAAAATCAGGAGGGATTTCTCCATGGAAAGGGTGGTCAGGCCTTGGCAAGGGTTGCCCAGGGAGGTTTGGAGCCCCCACCCCTGGAGGTGTCTGAGGACGTGGCACTCAGAGCTCTGGGCTGGGGGACAAGGTGGGGATGGGGGTGATTGTGGAGGGCTTTTCCAAGCTCAGGGGTTCTGGGATTCTGCTGGGCCTCACCTGGTGCTCCCCCCTGGCAGGGTGAGGACGGTGGAGGAGCTGGACCAGCGGTACCTGCTGGTGCCCGAGGCAGTGAAAGATGCCTACCTGGTGCACCTGGTCCAGACATTCCAGGATGAGCACGAGGACTGGTCCATCATTATCTTCACTAAGACCTGCAAGTGAGTGGGGTTGCTCCTTTTGGCTGCTTTGCTGGCACAGGTTGGGCAGAGCAGCTGTGGCTGCCCCATCCCTGGGAGCGTCCAAGGCCAGGTTGGAGCAACCTGGGATATTGGAAGGTGTCCCTGCCTGTCCCAGCTCTGTCCTGATCCCTTTCCTTGGCTCATCCTGATCGTTTTCCCGTGTTTCTTCCTTCAAGGGACTGCCAGGTCCTGAACATGATGCTCAGGAAGTACAGCTTCCCTTCTGTAGCTCTGCATTCCATGATGAAGCAGGTGAGGGGTGGGCACATCTGGGAGGGGGCTGCTTCCAGCTTCATCCCTGAGCCAGGAAACTCCAGATCCTGCAGCTCCCGTGGATCCAAATCCCTCACACAGACCCTTCTCCCCACAGAGGCAGAGATTTGCAGCTTTAGCCAAGTTCAAATCCAGCATCTTCAAGATTCTCATTGCCACTGACGTTGCTGCCAGGTACAGCAGGGGCTCTGTTCCCAAAGGTCACGACCACTGGGGAGTTTAGGATGAATTCAGCAAGAGGAGACCCTTCAATCCCCTACTCTTGGGTGGGACAGGGGTGTTCCCAACCCCTCTGAGCCGTGGTCTGGAGCCTGTGTGTGTGTGAAGTAGCTCTGATGGGGGAGTGTGCGTGTTTTTAGGAAGAAGGTTTCTCTGAGGCTCAGGGTGTTCCTTGGAATTCCTTTAACTGCTGGAGAGTTGTGTGGGGAAAGAGTTTGCCCTACAATCAGCCCATGTTCATGGAATATGGGGCTACTGGAGGAAGCAGAGAGCAGGAATCAAACTGCAGACACCCCTGGGATGGTGGAAGGTGTTGGGGGGTGGAATCTTTAAGGTCCCTCCCAACCCAAACCGCTCTGGGATTTCATAATTCTATGACACTAAAACCCTTTTCTCAACCTCTGCTCTCTTCCCCTGCGTTCCAGAGGGTTGGACATTCCTGCAGTCCAGGTTGTGATCAACCACAACACTCCAGGGCTGCCCAAAATCTACATCCACCGGGTGGGCCGGACGGCACGGGCAGGTGAGCAGTGGGGGGCTCCCACTCTCATCCCTGTCACTGCCTCCAGCGAGGGGCTGGGCCCTGGGTGGGCTCAGGAGGTGTCCCAGCAGCACCACGGGGGTTCTCAGGCAGCGCCAGGTCCTCTGGGATCGCTGGAATCCTGCCTTGGGATTGCAGGGATGGGGCTGAGCCGCGCCGGGAGCGAACAAAGACCCCTCTGAGCAACCCTCAGGCTGACTCAGGGAGGGTGGGAGGGTGGGTTTGGAACTCGTTGGGTTCATCTCTGCCTGTCAGGATTCACCTCTCCCCGTGTTTGCACCACCCAGGCCGGAAGGGAATCGCCATCACCCTGGTGACTCAGTACGACATCCACCTGGTGCACGCCATCGAGCAGGAGATCAGTGAGTGGGGCTCTGGGCATCCTGCTGCAGGGTGGGGTCACACATCTCAGCACTCAGGACAACTTCAGCCTCAAGAAGGTTTCTCTTCCCTGCGTGGCAAAGGCTCAGAAAAGAGCAGGAGCACCTGAATTGCTGATTGAGCTCCCGGGTGTGTCGGGCAGGAGGTGTTTGGGTGTTTGTCCTCCTGCTGTTGCTGGGGGAGTCCTCTCTGTAACCTCTTTGTTAAAGCAGCTTCTTCCTCCCTGCCAAGGGGGACAGAAGGAACGGGTTGCTTCAGGTTCAGGTGTCCTGGGTTTTTTTTGGGAAGTAGAGCCAGTAAATGCAGCATCTTGTGCTGTGGGGAGTCGTAGGCAGAGGGGAGTGACCTCCCAGCAATTCCCCTGATGGTCAGAGGAGCCACAGTGGGGGTTTTTTTTTCACTAGCTGAGGATCTGCCCCTGGAGCTCTTTAACCAACCCAGTGGTGTGTAAATGTCTCCCCCTGGTTCAGAGCTGCAGCTGAAGGAGTTCTCTGTGGAGGAGCAGCACGTGCTGGACATCCTCACCCAAGTGAACGTCACCAGGAGGGAGTGTGAAATCGTGAGTGGAGCCCCTTTGTCCAGGGGGCTGGAGATCCTGGACAGAGATCCCTGCAGAAAACACTTTGGGGGGTGTGTGTGGGAGGGTCATTTTGGTTTCTCTTCCCTTGGTTTGCTCTGTTATTGCATGTTTTTGCAGCAGGTTTTTTTTTGCTGGTGGGTGTTGAAACTGGTGCTTTTTGGCTCTCGGGCACCAAATGTCCCAGTGAGCCCGTGGGGGCTGTGTCAGTCCCTGACTGCCCTGCTGTGTTCTCCCTTTGCCAGGAGCTGGAGGGAACGGATTTTGATGAGAAGAAAGAAATAAATAAGAGGAAGCAGATGATCCTCGAGGGGAAGGTGAGAGAGTCGCTGCTCCAGCTTTGAGCTGGTTCAGTGTGGGAAGGGAAGGACAGCTCCTCCCTTATGCTGTGGGGAGGAGGGCTCACTCCCCTTCTGGGTGCTGAGGGTTTGTTTTAAAGGTTATATTTAATATTTTGCTATTAAAAAGTGCCCTGGAGGAGGGTCTGGCCTTGGCAGCCCCTTCCAGTCGTGGGCACCCGGGAAAGGCCGAGGGGCCGGTGCTGTCCCAGGGGGGTCACCCACTGCCCTGCCCTTTGCCACGCTGCAGGATCCAGACCTGGAGGCCAAAAGGAAGGCAGAGCTGGCCAAGATCAAGAAGAAGAACAAGGAATGCCGGGAGAAGGTGCAGCAGACCCTGGAGAGGAGGAAGCAGCTGCAGCTGAGGAGGAAACTGCAGAAGAAGATGGAGCGGCGGAACAAGCGGAAGGCGACGGAGGAGCAGTGACATCCCCGGGCCTGGCCTGGGCTGCCCTGATCATGCTGCTGCTTTGGGGATATTGGGGTCTGGCGCCTTTTGATGTGGACACTTCTGACTGAAATCAGTGCTGGGGAGAATCCCCAAATCCCAGAATGGGTTGGCTTGGAAAGACCTTAAAGATCAACACGTCCCCCTCCCCTGCCACGGGCAGGGACACCTCCCACTGTCCCAGGTGGCTCCAACCTGGCCTTGGACACTCCCAGGGATGGGGCAGCCCCAGCTTCTCTGGGAAATCCATCCCAGGGCCTCCCCACCCTCACAGGGAGGGGTTTTTTTTCTGTTGCACAGTCCTGCCTGTGCCATTCCTGGCAGGCTGGATCAGCCCCCTGGGGAATCTTTCAGGCAGATGTTTCCTTCCTCCACCAGAGGAGAGGCCAGACGTGGATTCTTGGGGACATAAAAGCTCCTCTGTCTGTCCCCCTTCACTCAGTCCCTGCTCTCTCCCTTCCCAGGGCTGTGATTGCCACTCACACTTGTTTGGATCAACAGATTCTCCCCTGAGCCAGAGGCTAAAAATACTGTGACAAAATGAGCTCAGCCTCTTATCTGTGCCACAGCCCAGAGTTTTCCAAGAGGAAAATTCCTGGAGCACGTGTGGGGAGGTTGTGCTGGGGGGCTGATCCCGGGGTTTTCTTGGAATGAGCCTGCTTTGTGCATCCAACTGATATTCCTGGCTGTGAATTTTTTCCTGCCTTGGCTCGGGCTCTGTCTGTGGCCACTGCCCAAATAAATAATTATTGCAACACGTGGCTGGGTGTTGGATTTTTGGGGGGTGGGGGGGTTCCCTGGCTGGGTTGCCATGGAAACTCTCCTCGATTCAGCATCTTTGCTGCATCTTCTCTCACCTGGACCAAGTGTGGGTCCTGAATCTGTGCTGGGTGTGCAGGGGGGGACAGTCCTGCACCCTCCTCATCCTCCCAAAATCTGCACCCTCCTCATCCTCCATCTCCTCTGGGTGTGAAACCACCACCTGCCTCAGATGTTCCAAGGGGCTCCTGTTCTTCCACCTCCCACCTTCCCAGGCAATTCTGTCCCCACACTGATGGATCACGTGCCAAAACTGGCTGTTTTGGGTGCACTTCAGGAAATATTTGTTCCTGGAACATTCTCTGCCCCTCCTGTGGAGGAGCAAACCCCTCCAAGTGCTTCCCAGGAGTTTTGCAGGGAGAAGGGAGAGGCTGGGGGTCCTCCTGGGTGGGAAACTCGGTGTCTGAGGAATCCTCCCCTCTGGAACTCCTGCTGAGCAAGGGAATGTGGAAGTGGGGACAGGCTGGTGACATTGCAGTGCCCTCCAGGAGATGGCACCCCCTCCACTCCCAGGTGCTGGACGGGGCAGCAAAGCTCTGGATCTCCCCGGGGAATAAAAAAATGCAGCTGCAATGGGGAACTTCTGGGCCCGGGATTGGGTTTCTCTCTGCTGAGACAGCAGTGCTGGTGTGCCCAGCTTTGCTGCAGCTGCTCTCAGGTGTCCCCTTGCTGCCCAAAATCCTCCCCGCGGTGCCCTCTGTGCTGCTCCAGCTGCCGCTTCGCCCTCTTTGCGGACACAAACTCAGCTCCTCTGAACGCCCTGAAAAGCTGCTCCACCAGCTTTTCCCCCCGGGAATGGGGCGGGTTTGCCGGCAGGTGGCAGCTGGGGAGCTCCGCACACCTTTTCTCCTGGATCCCGTCCTTGTTCCCAGGGAAATGCAAGCGCGGGGATACCGGGATTGGGTTTCAGAAAGCGGGGAGTGAGCGGGACAGGGCTGCTCCCAAATTCTCCTGGATCATTTCAGGGTCGATCCTGACCCTGCGCTGCCCTCGCGTCTCCCTGGCAGCACTGGCACTCCAGGAACGGGACAGAGGGAAGAAACACCCGGAATATTTCTGCCTCCCTGGCGGAATCAATCTCTGTTTGACTGATTCCACCCCTCGCTGCCCGCAGCAGCTCCGCGTCCTCAGCGCATCCCCGAGGACTCGCTTGGCATTCCTGTCACCTCTGGAGGGAGCGCGGCTGGCAGGGAGCGGGGAGACTCAGCAAAGACGAGCTGGGAGCTCAGCCCGAGCCTGTTGCAGAGGCTCATCCCCATCCCTCCGGCGCTTCCCAGACTCAGTCCCGAATTCCCGAGCACCGCGGGATGCCAGCAGAGGTGCCACTCGTGCCACCCCTCCCCGGGCCCGGGCGCTGCTTTCATGTGCCCTCCCAAGGGCTGGGCGTGGATGTCTCAGCCGGGAAGGGGAGAGGGAAACGTGTCTGTGTGGTGCCTGCTGGGATCTGAGCCCTGTTATCCCGGGAATGCCACGGGGGCAGAGGGGATGCCAGGGGGACAGAGGCGATGCCAGGGGGTCAGAGGTGATTCTCAGGGGTCAGAGGTGATTCCATGGGGACAGAGGTGATTCTCAGGGGTCAGAGGTGATTCCAGGGGGACAGAGGTGATTCCTGCCTCCTTCCCTTTCCACCTGACACCTTCCTAGCCCTGCAGTGACAGTGGCCTCCGAGGACATGGAATTTGATTCCCTCTCCTTGGCAGGCGATGCCAAGGTGCTCCAGGTGGGACCTGACTGACACCCAGGCGTGGCTCCCCCATTGCTGGAGCTGCCACATCTCCCATCTGGGGTGTTCCTGCTCTTTTCCACAAGTGCCTCCCTTCCAGCACCGTTGCAGCTGCTGGTTTTTGGGAGCTGAGGGAGGAGGCAGGGCTGTGTGTGCACACCATGACGTCCTCCTTCTCCCTCGGAGCAGGAACTGCCTCGCCACACCACGACCTAATAACCATAATGATAATTATCAAATTACCTCGGGACAGGGGGATTTTTGGGGGGGCTGTTACGTGCTCAGGAGCACTCTCCCAGCCACACATCTCACTTACCTTTCTCTGGAGCACGTGGAAATGGTGTCCCAGGGCGTGCATGTGTGTGTGTGTGTGGGGTGTCACACGCACGGCCTGTGCTCCCTGTGCTGTCAAGTGTAAACAGACCATTTCTGCACTAAAAATAACCCTCTCCTCTGAGGAAGGGAGCAGCTGATCTCTGCAGCCCAGATGCAGGAGCTCAGAAGGCTTAGGTCACCTACTTTTCATTAATGGCATTATTTAATTACAAATTCCCCCAAGTTCCGTCCTTGGGAGGTTGGAAACAAAGGGGGGGGGGGCTCGTTTCAGTGTGTTCTCATAAAAATCCAGAGCTCTAAGCCAGTCTGTTAAGTGACTTTGATGTGAGAATGTCTAACACATCCCTGGGGGGCTCCACGGCGGCTTTTTGGGGAAAAAATAAAAAATAAAAAAAATCACTCAGCAGACTCTGAGAGTCCCCAGCATGGCCTGTGCTGAACCCTTCTCCTCCTGCCTCTCCAGGCACCTCGTAGGTGCTGCAATTAAAGTCCAACAGGGGTCCAGGGAGGGTGATTTTGTGCTTTGTGGAGGAAGAGGAGGAGGAATCCAAGCCGGTGACACGGGAGGCAGCTGGAGGGCTCTGCCAGCTCTGGGTTTGCATTCCTGTCCTGGCATCTCCCAGCTGGCTTTTGCAGCAGGCACATCCTTTTCCCGAGGCTGCGGCAGCAAAGCCCCTTTTTCCTCCAGCTGAGCTGCTCGGCAGGGCCTTGCCTTGGCTCTGGATCCCCCCTGGCTGCTCCTCCCGGGGCTGCAGGGTGGGTTTATCCGTTCATCCCACGTGGGAATCATTTCCTCCCTCTCCCCTCCCCTTTATTAATGTCCTGTCTGGGTTTTCTATCAATAATTAACACCTTAATCTGCCCAAAGAAAGAGGCCTCCCGAGGTACCTGCAGGCAGGGGCATCTCCCCCCCCCCCCCCCCCCCAGGAGCCCCCCGGGCTGGAGCTGCTGACAGGGATTGTGGCTGGGAGAGACTGAAGCAAACATCGGACTGCAGCTTTGCCAGCCAGCCCTGGCTTTTGGAGCCCGGGATTTTCCCCCTTTGGAGGCAGGAAAAGCGTAACCAAGAAGGGTGAGGGGCTGGGGGGGGGGGTGGGACACGGCGGGGATGTGTCAGCGCTGCTGATGGAAACCCTTTGGAAGTGCTCGGCAGGGCGGGGCAGATGGAATTAGCGCCGCTGGAGCTGCCTCGTTGCTAACCGCGGATTTAGGGCATTCGTGGAAATAGCTGGTGATAAATGGGTTTTCATTAGCTCGGGAGAAGGGGAAGCGCCTCCCAGACCCATCCATCATCGCCCGGCCTCGGCAAAGCGCTGGGAACAAAGGCTGAGCCCGGGACAGATCTCATCAAAAAGCCACTCTCCTGATTATTCTGGCAAGGAAAAGGATGGCACCGGTACCCATGGGAGGGGGGGCAGAGCCACCGGGGAGAGTGGCCCTCCTGGCAGGACATTTGGCCCTTTTCTCACTCCCCCAGACAGTCAGTGGGGCAGTTCCTCGCTGTGGGTTCAGGTGGAGCTCTCCAGTGTTGTCAGGTTGTGTTTTGAGGGTAAAAAAAGGGGGCAGGAAGAGGCTTAAACAGCAGAAAAGCTGCGGTTTGTGCTGAGCTGGGTCAGAGCAGGTGCTGGGAATGGTGGCAGCCAGGACTTCACTCCGTGGAGCTGTGGGAGCTCCTCTTGCCTCTTCCCCCACTCCCAAAGTCCTGGTGGGATGTGCAGAGCCTGAGTCAGGTCCCTGTCCCTGCCTGGGGTGAGGTGACTCACCCAGGTCTGGTCACCCCCAGCGAGGCCAGGGAATGGTGCTGGATCCATTCCCAGCTCCACAGGGCCAGAGCAGAGAACACGAGGAGCTTCTTCCCGGCTTTCTTTCTCTCATAAATCCCAAATTCCTCCCTCCCCTTGTCAGTGAAAACCAAAGCAAACACACCTTGCTCGGAGCTGATCTCTATTTCAAAAGAAGGCTGCTCCTTGTGGGAATAAAATATCAACACTGGCACGGGGCGGGAAGCAAATCAATCCTGAAAAACTTTTTGCCACCCAGTTGCTCCCTTCCCGTCTTAAATACCCTGGAACAAACCTCACTAGAGCAGCTCCAGCCCCAGACAGCTGTGAGAACACTTCATGCAACAGAAATTAAAATAAAATAAAAATAAGTCCCCCCCCCAAAAAAAAACAAACCAAACCAAAAGAACCCCAAACTCAGAAAAGCTCTTCCCTGGCTAAGCAGGTCTGGAAACCTCCACGTTTCCTCACTCCCTCCTGGGAAAGGGAAGGGCTTTGCAGAGAGTCACCAGCAGTCCTCCACTCCAGCAGATTCCCGAGGTGCCAGCCCCGAATCCTGCCCTGACTTGCAGGCAGAGTGTGGAGGCTGCAGGTTCCTCTGTGGTCAGCAGGAGAGGGAGGGCAGAGGCAGAGCCTCTCCCTGTCTCCACGGGGAACATTCCCAGGATTGCTGCTCTTTGCCTGACTTACAGTGGCAAAGAGGCTGAAAAAACCCCTCCAAAAAACCTCCAAAGCCATGGACAGTCCTGGAGGGTCACAGGCACAGCCAGACACTGCTCAGCCGCTCCCACACCTGCCGGGGGGACACGGCAATCCAGGGAATCCCACGGGCCTTGCTCAATTCCCTGTGACCAGAAAACATCTGGGACAACTCCCAGGCCCCCCCTGTCCCCTTCTCAAGGAGAGCTGAAGGAGCAGGACGGCCCTGGGGGCTCCTTCCCGATATAAAAGGCCCCAAAAAAATAAAAATAAAAGGAGGAACCAAGAGAGCAACTGTGACTTGCTCCATTTAATTTCAATTAACTGCAGCCCTCAGAGGCCCGGAGAGATGCCAATCCAGCAGCTTTGGTGGCCGTGCCCTGGGGGATGTCCCTTTTCCCAAACCCAAGCCTGCAGCTCTGCTCAGCTGAAGGTTTGAATGAGCCCTTAAATCCCACTGTGTTAAACTAACAGAGGCTTTAAAACCTGCTGTTGTTTTTCCCTCTGGAGGATGAGTGAACAGTGGGAAGGCTCCTTCTCTGCAGGGATGCTCCTGACAGCGAGCAGAGTTGCTGGATCCCGTTGGAAAGACTTTGGGCTTGGGAGGAAGAAGAAGAAGAAGAAGAAGAAGAAGAAAAAAAGGAGAGACTTGTCCCAGGTGTGCTGGAACCTCTCCTCCCTCCCTCCCCAGGTGGGGAAACAGGCAGCTGACTTGCAAAAGGCAAGTGGTTTCCTAAAAAAAAAAAAACAAAAACAAAACTACTGGAAAAACAAACAAACCAAAAAACCACCCCAAAACCACAAAGGCTGCTCAGCCCCTTCCCCTTAGAAAAGTGTAAAAACCCCAGGGGACACAGTGTGGCTGGGAGGGCAGCAGGAGGGTCCCCTCTGGGCCACGCCAGGGGCTGGAGAAGGGCTGGCAGGGCCTTTGGGAGCTCCCTGGGGGGCTCAGCTCCTCCTTGCCCTGGCGTGGGGCGGGCTGGCCGGTCCCCACGCTGCCCAGGCAGCTGCTGGTACGGTGGCAAATCCTGCCCACGGGGTGGCTGTGGTTGCTCTGGGGCAGTGGGAAGGGCTCTGCTGCCTCAGTTGCTCTCCACCAGCTTGGCCAGTCCCTGCCGGATCTCGCTGAGCTCGAAGATCTTCACGTCCATGATCTCGGCCACCTTGGTCACCTCGCTCTGCAGCTTCTCCCTCTCTGCCAGGCTCTCTGCCAGGCTCTGCTCTGCCAGGTGCAGCCGCTGCTCCAGCTCGGCGTTCCGGGCCTCCAGCTCCTGCCAGGGGCGCCAGGAGAGGGGTGGGCGTGGGGAGGGGGCTGCTGTGCCCTGCCCACACCCCCCTCTGTCCCCCCAAAACGGCCCCCGGTGCTGAGTCCCCACTCCCAGAGGGATCTCCCTCTCCTGACCCGCAGCATCCCAGGGGGGTAAATATTCCTCCCTCAACCCAGGCACCTGCCCGGCTTTAAATGTCCTGAGACCTCCCAGGAGCTGGGAATGTTTGCTGGGTGAGAATTTTTCCTTCTCTGTCCCCTTTCCAAAGCCCTCAACGGACACGCCTGGAGACTCGCTGGTCGTCCCGGGGTTCGTCCCTCACCTCCAGCTTTTTTAATGAGCTTATCCTGCTCTCCAGAAAAATGCAGGAGCTGCTGCTGAACAGGAGCATTTCTGCAGCGGTGTGAGGCGTTCTTTGCAGTGAACTCAGTGTCCCAAGTGTTAATTAACCCACCCCTGCTCAGCTACGTTTCCTTTTCTAGCACGCTGCCCTTCGGGTGACTCCAAGGTCTGTAAAGGTGTGGGAACTGCAGCTCACGTGGATCATCCCCAGGCTCGATGGGGACAGTTTTGCCACGAAACAGAGCCCGTGCAGGGGCTCTGGACCTCAGAGACAAACACAGGCAGTGCCCCAGATCCTGCTCCATCTGTGTCTGTGCCCGGGGCTGAGGAGCAGCTCGGCTCCCTCCTGCCAGCCAGGCTGTGCCAGAGCTCTGCTCCCATCCCAGCAGCCCTGAAGGACTTCAGGGGATGGAGAGGGTGACAGGACATCACAATTCTGCCACACACCCCGTGGCAGGGGCTGCTCCCACCCTGCAGAGTCCCCCAGGGAGCCAGGGGGATGGATCCCTGCGCTGGGAGGGTGCCCCAGCCCTGCCACCTTTACCTGCAGCTTCTGCAGCGTCTCCTCCCGCTCCCCCTCGGCTTCCCAGCGGCCACACTTCTGGCTCTTCAGCATCTGGATCTCCTGGAACACCAGGAGGAAGAGCAAGCACGTCAGATCCTCCCCCTTTCTCCTGGTGGGAGCGGCTCCCACAACCCCCAGGCAGCTCCAAGTTTTCATCCCCTCCCTTTCTGACCTCCTGCTGTACCTGCTGCCCTCCCTGGGAGCCCTTGGCCCCTCATCTGAGTGCCAGCAAAGCATCCCTGCTCCAGGGCACATCCCAGGCTCCTGGGGACAGGGATGAGCTGCTGGGTGAAAAAGCCTGGGCACACCTTGGCCCCAGCATTTTCCCTCTCCAGCCTGAGCAGGCAGGGGAAGGAGGGACAAAACTGCTCTGAGTAAGGATCAGGGAGCCCAAACCACCTCCCCTCTTCAATCCCAGGGCTCCATCACCACCCCTACCCTGCTGAAGCAAGGCCAGCAGACAGCCCACAGAGCGTGAATCACAGAGATCCTCTCCACACCTCCCCTCCTCCACAGCCCCTGCAACCAGAACCCGCCTTTAAATCATCCATTCATTTAAATGCAGCGAGAGCTAGCGACAATTACTACACCAGAGGCTAATTGCCACTGCAGAGGGCTGAGAGGGGAAGGCGGAAGAGAGCTCTGAGCCTTCCACGGACACTGGGAAGCTCCCAGGGCTTCCCCCTCCCTCAGCTTTGCCTCCCTGGAGATGGAACCAGCACGGGGGGGTCTCTGACCCCAAGCCAGCAGTGACTGACGGGCCCCCCCCAGCCTCAGGCTCTGCCTTTTTACCTCATCCTTAGCCTTGATGAGCAGTTCCAGCTCCTCCAGGGTTTGGCTCAGCTCCTCCTTGTTGTTCTCGCTGGAGGAATCGTGGGTCCCCTGCGACTCCAGCTCCGCCACCTGCCAGGCAGGGAAGGTTCCCTCAGGGATGTTGTGGCTCCTCAGCAACCCCAGCCATGGGTTTGGCTTCCTTGCCAAGCCACCCTGGGCTGTTCCCAGGAGCAGGGGGAGCAGTGGCTGCCTTGGGTCCACGTCAACAGCGAGCTCTGGTCCCAAGATGCTCCCATTTAGGGACAGTGGTTCAGGTGTCTCGCCCAGTCACAGCTTCTCCTGCCATTCTGCCAAGGCCCCAGTGCTGCCCCTCGCCCAAAGCTCCCAAAATCCTCCCTGCTGGTTCCCAGCTGTGGGGAAGAGCCACAGAACAGCTGAGTGTGCAGGGGGAGAGCCAGCCCGACCCAGACAGTCACAAACCCACGCACAGACACCCACACGAGGCCTCTGCTACACCCAGGGGAGGCAAAGCTGGCCCAGGCAGCCCTTTCCCTGCCCAGCTCCAGCGCTGGGAATGAGCTCCAGGCACAGCAGATCCCGGGGATGGCTGCTGACTGCACAGACTGGCCACACACCACAGCCACGGAGGGCAAAGAGCTGCTAATTGCCAGAAATCCCTGCTGCCTCTCCAGTGAGCCATCTCCAAGTGAAATGGCTCCAGAGTCCTTTCCCAACCTGTCCTAAAAGCCCTTCCCAAGTCCTCTGTGGTGCTTCCCTCCCAGTCATCCCCCCCTCTCTGTGTGACTGTCACCCCTGTGCCCTGCTGCACTCAGCTGGCCAGAGTGACCTCCCCGACGTTCTGGAGGTCAAAGGAGCCCCTTATTCCAACAGAACAAGGCTCTGCTTGTGCTGCACCACCCGGCTTTCATGATGTTGCAGCTCGGATTGGAGCTAATTATAGCAGCCAGAGCAACCCTCAGCCTTCCTGTCAGCAGCCACAGCCTGCCCTGGTGCCTGGCTGGGGGGGGAACAGGCGTTAGTCTGGCTGGGAGCTGGGATCTACCTCCAGAAAACACGCAGGGAAGCTGAAATTCTGTGACTTCGAGCTCTGGTTTCCTCCCTCCACCCCCAGGGACTCAACACACAAGAAGAAGAAGAAGAGGAGGAGGGGAGCTTGTGGGGAGCTCCCCGCTCCCCCAGCCCCATTCCTTGATGAGTTCTCCTTGCCAGGCTGTTGCAGCATTCCTGGCTCTCCACCCCAGGTGCTGCTGACGGGCAGGGCAGGCGGGAGAAGGGCCCAGCAGCCCGGTGTGGGTCCCCAGGACGGGGCTCACCCTCTGCCGCAGCGACTCCGTCTCCTCCTGGTAGGCCGAGAGCTGCTTCTTCCACTGGTCCACGTTGGCGTTGGCCTCGTGCAGGGCAGCCACCAGCTTGCTGTTGTTGTCCTGGAGGCTGAAGAACTCGGCTTCCCACTGCACCTCGCTGACTGAGCTGTGTGAGAGGGCAGGGGGTGAGTCCGGAGGATCCTTCTCCCCCCACCATCCCCGATGCCCAAAAAAACGCCCCTAGAAGTGCTCAGCAGTCCCAACAGGTTTCCATTCGGCCCTCCCATCACCTCCTAGATTTATGCTCTCCTTGGACAGCCCTGAATCTGCACCTCTTCCCTTTATCCCCGGGTAATGTTCGGCTTTGAGGCCACCACGGAGTGCTGGAAGCTGTGAGATTAATGGGGTGGGGGAGATGCAGCTCCTACAAAAGGGGCTTTGCAACGTGGGATTGTGAATCCACTTTAAAAACCCTTACTGGATCTGAGTTTGCTTTGAATAAAGCCCCATCAGCCCTGGACTCAGGAGAAGGCAGCAAAGGACACTTGCTTTTGATTTAAAAACGTTTCTAAGTGTTCAGCTGGGAGCTTGGCGGGAGCCACAGGGCAGAATCCAGCCCGGAGCCTTTTGAACAGACAAAGAGAGGAAGCAGCGGGGACTTGTGCTGGAACCATCAGGGGAATTAACACAAAACGTAGCCCTGGGCCAGCTGGAGAAGTGTGAACATCTTCTGGTATCACAGACTACTGATCTGCAGATAACTGGCACCGAGTCATCCCCGCTGCAAGGCACTGGAGCCGCCTCCTTCCCACGCTGCTGCTGCTGCTGCCGCGAGCAGCACATTTCATCTCCCAGCTGGAATAACTTCCTGCCGGGAAAGAGGGCTGGAGCAGCAGTTTGGGCACAGGGCGTGACTCGGCAGGAGGAGCGTGGGGTCAGAAGCGCTCGGGACGGCAGAGAACAGGGGCGGTTCAGGAGCAGGGAAGCTCTCGAGGCAGCCTCACCCTTCCGACAGCATCTTCTTCAGCCGCTCCTTCTCCGTCGAGATCTCCACGTCGGCGCTTTGGCTCCGGAAGAGTTTATCCTCTCCTGGCCCATTGGAGCTGATGATGGGGCTGGGAAGTACCTGGGGAAGGTGAAGAAGAAGGGGTGGTTATGGCCACGTGGCCACAAGGGCTCTGC